TGTCGATGGGAATGCTGAAAGGCAGCTATTAAATGCTTTGCTCTTGGAGCCACCAGACACTCCAGAGCAGAGCTCTAGCTGCCCCCCTCACTTTGCTGGGAAGGCAGCAGGGGCTGCCTGGGATGGGGCTACGGAGGTTCCCAGCCTGGGTCCTGGGGGTTTAATGAGTGCATGGATCAGGTAGCAAACCGCTCTCTGTGTTTTCAGCAGGGTCATTTTTCACTAAATGCATAGTGAAGCACAGAACACGAGAAAAAAAAAAGAGCCTCCATGTCCTGGAGCTTCTCTGACATCAGCTGAAGTAAGTCTGCTGAAGGAAGCAATAGTGTGAAATGGGGAAGTGGAGAACCAAGCTCTCTGCAAATGAAACCTCAGCTCGCGAGGTATCACAGGAAGCAGAAGAGCTTCATTCGGACCCTAATGAGTCTAACGAGTTTAATTCTAACTCCCCATTTGCCTGTCTGATCGTTCACTGTTGCTGAACTAATTGCTTTTATCCGCAACAGGGAGCACAGCTCTTGCCCTGGCAGAAGCGGAGAGAGCTGGGAACACCGGGAGACGAGAACCTTTCACCTCTCCTTCCCAAGCCCCCGCCTGTATTTGAGACCCCGTCTGGGTGGCTCGGCGGGAACACAGTTACTGAACGGTGTTTTTGTGACCGCTCGGGCTCCGGGGGCCGCTGTCCAGTGGTGAGAGGTGCCCAGGGAGCCGCAGGGCAAGTGGAGCCTTCGGCCCCCGCCGCCCCAGCCTGGCCGCCCCTGACACCTGGGGAGCTGCTTTTTATTTCATTTTAGGAAAAAAAATAATCTGACGGAGGTTATTTGAAGTCCCTCATTTGAAGCCCATCAGAAATAATTTGAAGTTGCTAAAAGATAAACTAAAAAGGCTGGCAGAATTTACAGCAATGGCACCACAGGCCCAAAGTGAACCCAGGCATTTGCAAAAAAATAGACCCTGATCCCGCTCGAAGGTGCAAGTAAAACTGAAGGGAAACCAGGCAGCTCTTAATAAAAAACATATTTTTTAAAATAAAAAAACACACCCACAGCCTGATCTCTTCCAGATAGCTTGAGGCTGACCCTGTCATGTCCTGCAGGCCTGGAGAGGCCCTGCCCTTCACCCGCCTTCGTGCCCGAGCTGATGCCCAGGGCGCCGGGGGGTGCGAGCAGCTCCCTGCCGTCCTGTGGGCTGCCGCCCTCGCAGCCCCGCGCCCGGCCGGCGCAGAAAGCTGCTGCTGGGGCAGATACGGCTTCTGCTCTGCCTCTTCTGAAGACGTAAAAAGTTTGAGGATTTTGGCTTTTATACGGTTATATTGGAAATGCAAATTTTGCTTTACTCGGTTTATGATGGGTCAGCTTACCATCAGCATATACCCTCCCCCTGTAACATCTATAACCTAGGCTTATCTTAGTGACAATATTGTAATTGCTTTTAATACTCATTTGCAGCAAATAGCAAATTATTGAACAGAGAGACTCTTTTTCAGACCGAGTTGCCAGCTTCCCGCTGCAGATACTGTTGAAAACATCAAGACTTCCAGGACCTGTGCAGAGTTTTCTGTGTTACTTGTTTCTCCATAGGCCTGTGAAATGGAAACCAGCAAAAGTCTCAGAAAACTTCCGAAGCAGCTGAGCAGCCCTGTGGACACCCAAACACCCCGGCCCAGCGACCTGCTGTTTTTCCGGGGGGTTCTTGCTCCCGCGGCCAGGGCTGGCCTGCCTGGTGCCCGGGAGGCTCGGCACGGACGGCGGCGCTGCGGAATTCGGGTTAGCCTCGTGGAGTTGCTATGGATGGTTACCCTCGGGAAAACAAACTATTAATAGGCCTGTGCCCGAACGCTCGGCTGTGCGAGGCCTCATCCGTCACATCCAGGCTGTGCTTTGATGGATCCCTGCGCCAGCGGCTGCGGATCCTTCGGGCTGTGACGGAAGACACTGTTAAAATATCTATCATGGGAAAAAAAGGAGGAGGCCGCTAGAGGAGTGGGTAAGAAATTATTCCACTGTTAAAGAAATACTGTTTTCATATCAATATAGCTAGATATTGTGTATATAGAAATATCAATCAATGTAAAACAGAAGTCTCTTCAGCTGTGTTTGCTTAAGTGATGTTAGACATCATAGAGATATTAAAATAGCATCTAAATGCAGTTTGTTACTGCAAATACTGAATTACGTGATATACTTTAAAATGTTGTTTGTAGGGAATTGGTATAAGTAACTGGGGACAAACTCTTCTCGGTGGTGGCCAGCGACAGAACAAGGGGTAATGGGTACAAATTGAAACACAGCAAGTTCCATCTCTATGTGCGGAAGAACTTCTTTCCAGTGAGAGTGACAGAGCCCTGGAACAGGCTGACCAGAGAGGTTGTGGAGTCTCCTTCTCTGGAGATCTTCAAAACCCACCTGGATGCCACCCTGTGCCACATGCTCTGGGTGTCCCTACTGGAGCAGGGGGTTGGACTAGATGATCTCTAGAGGTCCCTTCTAGCGTCAACCGTTCTTTGACTCTGTAATCCTGTAAAAGATAAGCTCCTAAAATGTTAGTTTTCTGCATAGTTGTCTTAACCAGAGCAACTTTCCCATGGCTGTGCTTGCCCGTGAGCGAGCCCTCCTCTCTCTGGAGCTAGAAATGCTTAGGAAACTAGAGGTTTGCTGCAAGCCTCAGCTTGGTGCTCTCGCTGCCTCCCTCCCGGTCCGTCTCAGTGAGCAGCAACACTTGGCCAACGAGCAACAGCAGCTTCATTAACTGCTCTCAACACCAACCCAGGAGCAAGGCTCATGAGAACATTTACCTGTCATTTACACTCATGTACCACGCTGGTCATCTGCCTGCAGGGCAACCTCCGCCTGCTCCAACCCAGCTCAGCCAGGGCAGTTTTTGGCACCCCAGCTCGATATCCAGGGGCTCAGTGAGCAGTCGGTGCTGGCAGAGACCGCACTTCCTGGAGCGCTGCTGCCTTGACTTCCCAGCTCAGCCTACGAGGGTCTGGACGTGGAACTGCCGAGTGAGGAGAGGCCTCCCCGGCAGGGGGCTCGGGCAGCGCATCCTGCCGCACGATGGGGGCCGAGCGCAGCACAGCCGTGTGCTCCCGAGTCTGCGCTCCGGAGCGCAGCGCCCGCGTTACCGCAGCCTTAACCGGGGGAATGCTGCTAACTCGGTGCCCGTGCAGCCCCCGGGGAATATCCTTGAGCTGGCTGCAGCTGCACGTGGCTGAAGATGCCATCTGCCGCAGCGCTCAGCCAGCTGGGCATTTAAAATGTCATTTAGAGCAGAACGCCACAGCGCCCGCGTACCGAAGCGGATGTCGCCGGTGAAGGAGAACGGCCGTGAGCAAACGGGGCTCTTCGTGGAAAGGCCACATCACACAGGTGCCTGCAGAGAGCCCCTGAAGGGCTGCTGCTGCTTCTGCATAAACTCGCTCCATTTCCTGCATATACGACAAAGCAAAATTACAGGGGATCCCAGTAAAGTTCTACAGCCCCAGATGGCTCTGGTGAGGAGAATTAAAACCCAGCATTTGTGCTTTTCAGAGGCTGCACTGCCAGCATTTCCCAAACTGAACTGCGGGTCTTACCTGGGGCGGGAGGAGAAGCCCGTTCTCCCTTTTTGCGGAGAACTGCACACATGGAGCTGTGTAAAGCTTTGCTTTGCCCTCTGCAGTTCTGCTCCAGCTGACAGCAAAAGCATAAATCAATGCTGAAGCCTGTATTTTTGCTTCAGAGGAAGGAAAAATTGTCCTCCAGAGTTGTTCGAGTTAAATAACACAAATAAAAAAGTGTTTTAAATGCCCTTTCTGTGCATGTTACACAGTACGGCTCCAAATTGCTTTTCAGCTGTGCTTTGGGCTTTGGTTGAGTTAATGTAGTTTAAACATCCTTTCTAATTAGATAGGTTAGCAGATGTCTGCAACTGCTACTTTCTACTGAAAACAGTTTCGGGTAGTTTATGTTAAAGAAAGCAAACTAAGTAATGAATTGCCAATAAAAGTATCTGACTTAACTGGGTCCCAAGCGAGGCGAGTGACAGGGGGATGGGAGGAGGGTCCTGCAAGCATCTAGCAGGGCCGCACATGGGGTGGTTCCTGAGAGAGCAAAGCATTTTCCTGAGAGAGAGAGATCAAATACAGGAAATTTTGTGGAGATGGCACCTGTGCTAAAAACATTAGCAGTCTGGAGTGAGAGTCAAAGAAATGCAAGATACAGAACAAAACAACAGCCCCAAATCTCTTTTCTGATAACTTGAAAACTTCACATTTTGAGACTAGGTTATGGTATATCTTGCTTCTCCTCCTAAACACACGTGTATTTTCAAACTTCCACAGCCCTTCTTGAAGGCCACGTCACAGCAAGGCAAGTGGCCGATCCCTCCGCCTCGCAAGAGCACCTTGCAGCGAAACTCCCTGACACAGAAGCTATGGAATTTTAAGCAAATTTTCCATTTC